TGTTAATCACGTGGGCATCACTTGATAGCCATAATAACTATTGTTTATTGAGGAAAAAATAAATGTTTGTTCATATTTGCAAAAGAAAATCAATTCTTAATGACTATGTGTTGCTCCTACTTATAGATACCCTCCCCTCTTACGTGAGAATACATTCAGAGTTCTTGAGTTTTCCTTACTCTATCCATAGTCTAAAGCAAGAGATATCTGTTTCCCTCTTGTTTTGGGGTTCTTTGATTCTCTTTTCTTTGAAAGAGATGGCTGGAATCGTTTCCGTTTTTGATTTCGACAAAACTATATATCATCGGTTGTGATAGTGATAACTATATTGTTGATGAGTTGCGTTTCACCAACTTGTTCAACCAGCTTCTTCCTACCATGCCCTGGAATTCTCCCATGGTGAGCCATACTAAGGCCTGGAATTTCTGTTTCTGTTGTTTTGGCATTAAAAAAGAATGGAACTCAAGGTTAAACGTTTTATTGTGGTTTAAAATTTCAGGATAGGCTGATGAAGGAGCTTCATGCACAAGGAAAAACCATTGATGACACTGCCGAGGTTCTGAAACGGGTTCCTATACATCTCGTCCCAGCTATTAAAGTAGCTCATGCTTTGGGGTATTGATTTGTGGTTTTTAGGTGTGAACTCAGGTTTGTAAGTGATGGAAACATGTTCTTCATTGAGACAATTTTGGAGCATCTTGGATTGAGGGAATATGTCTCTGAGATAAACTCCGACCCCGACTTCGTTGATGAAGAAAGAAGGCTGAGGATCTTCCCTTACCATGATAATTTCACCAAGTGTTCCTACGGCTGCAACCTCCGCCCCCCGAATATGTGCAAGGTATCATATTGTTTCACCACTTACATGATTTAATTACATTTTATGAGAAGTTTAAAATATTTGAATATATTTTTTGGGACTTGAAATTTGCTAATGGAGACACTAAATCTTGTAGAAAGACCTAGATATTTCATACAACTGAATATTTTTACGAAGGTTTCTTGTATGCCTGCAAATAAAGAGTGTTTCAGGTAGTGTGTGTGTGTGAGAGAGAGAGAGAGGAGAAAAAGAACATTTACATCGAGGGTTTAAAGGGTAATTTAATCTGTATTTCGTTTCCTCCTATTTTATTTCTTTTTTGTATATTCCAACCATTATTACAGTTTTTATCATGTGTACTGATAAAATGCATAATTATTGAGTATAAAATAAAATGGCAACACTAAAATTTAAAAAAAAAAGAAAGATGTTTTCGTTTCATAAAATAATGCTATACATCTCATTACAACAAAACATAAAATTACAATCATGGGTTTTTTTTTCTTTTGGAAGAAGATGAAAAGATGACACAGCAAGGCTTGGCTGCGATTCGCTGCCTCAATGTGATCGATTAAGTACAATATTCGTGAAAATAAATAAAGCTTCAGATGGTTTAGAAAAAGTTACATGATGATTAGCTCCTTTTACAGTCATGTAAGTCAATAAATTACCATACGAATACATCCAACCTCCACCCTGTCCATTAATCAAACAAATTAATATGATGTTACTTAGAAAAAAATGATAAATAAATAATTAAATGGATAAACTAGTAACCTTGTTTTCATGATTCCAAGCTTCATCTTTTGTCAAATTCAATTTCATATCCTTGGCGAGCTTGTTTACATGGTTTAAGCTTCCAACCGTTGGTACTATAGCATCTTGGTCTCCACTGTAACATGATATTGGATGGAAAAATAAAATAAAAAAGTCAGCCACAGAATTTCTACTTCAGTTATTTACTAACACTTGTTTATATATATTTTTTATGTAATACAAACCTGAATATTGTAATGGGAATAGATTGCTGGAGAATTTTTTTCAATGCCGGAAGCATGTCAATGTCCTTATCAACATCACTGTATTTAAGACCACTTTTCCTAGTAGATTATACAGAATTTAAAAGGAGAAACAAAAAAAGAGTATAAGCATTAGTCACAAGTCATTGGATTAGATCCTACCATGTGCAAAACTTTATATATAAGAGAACTTACTCAAAACAACCCTTCCATTGATATCCTAAATTGGTTCGATTCCCATGAAAAGCTTTTTGAACTTCCGGAATGTTGAAATAGAAATCTGCCCTGAAAGGAATGCACATATCTACTTCATAACTAACTTTCGTAACCTGCAACAACAAGAAAATGATTAATATATAGAATATAAATAAAAAGAAGAGCGAATAAGTTTCACATTAACACCCAAAGAAACAACATGACTACCTCCTTCCCTAACACGAGGTCTTCCCATTTTTCATCACAAGGGTCTCGAAGAACATCAAAGCGTCTTGCCTTGGCCGCATTAACGGAAGATACAATAAAAGCAGCCATTTCCGCTTTATCCATGGCTTGTTGGCATGATTCAGACCATTTGGTAGCATTATTGGAATAGTTGTCCTCATCAATTCCATTGCATTCTTTCAAGATTTGTTGGTGCAAGTCAATATTAATCATCCCACGTGACCAAAAGAAATCATATACTGCAAGAGTGTCTAGCTTATTTCGAAGAAGCGGATTCCCCAACTATTTAAAAATAAAAAAATGACTTAAAATTGTTAAAAATATATTTTATTGAGACAACTAATTAAGCTAAAGGACTAGAGTGGTTAGATTGAGATTTTTCTTACTGTCAATCCTTTGATGTTGAACTTGAAACTGTTTGATTGTTTGTTGTAATCAAGTAAGGCATTAGCAAAATTGGGTATGAAGTGTCCTGAGAAAAATTAACACTATTATAAGTTAAATGAAATTTATAAAAAGGTTATGCAATGGAAACCGAAGAGAAAAATATGGTTTAGTTGCCACAATGTCTTTTCAATTTTCATTAACCGTTAACTAGTTTTTCATCAAATTCTAAAATAAATTAATCTGCCATGAACGTATTTGACTTTGAGATGGGAAAATGCAATGATTATTTTTCAAACCTGCATAGCTTGATCCGCCAAGATATAAATCTCTAGACTTAAAATTTGGGTACTTTTCAAACCATTGGAGTATGAACGTAAGCAAGTCTTTATCTGTGAAAACAATGAAGTAAAGTTTTACTAAATCTTGACAAAAATAAAAGAAAATAAGAAAAAAATTGGGTTGGACATGATCTTACTAGTACTATCATCCCCAACTTCATAGTCGCTGCTTGTGTTTGAGTAGGACCATCCCGCTCCAATAGGGGAATCAATGAACAGGAGATTTGTCACTAAAGTAAGTAAATAGCAAAAGTCAATAGATATTAAAACAAATCTATACGTCCAGTCCCAAGTTACAAGGATAATATTAAACCTTTGATCCAAGAATATGGATTTCTTTGGAGACCATGAGCATTAGCTGTAGTAATGAAAGGACCAACACTTAAAAACCCATCTCCAACTGAACCACAACCTGGTCCTGAACATATAACCATTAAACCTTTTCTTGTCATTTGTCAATACGTAGAAATAAATGTTGCTACCTAACATTGATTCATTAGTCTAAAATAAAAAGCGAACTAAAGAAATAATTTAAAAGCCTAACCTCCAGTTAGCCAGATAGTAAGCGGTAGATTCATTGGATTTTTTTCAGCTTCGACAAAATAATAGAATAAACTTCTACCGGCCTTTTCATCAGTGTCAATGTAGCCAGAAAATTGCCTAAAAGTTACGTTTGGCTGTTCGGGCAATTTTTCTATTACATCATTCATGGGAAATCCATTAACACCACCAAATACGAATAATAAAAGACCAAGAAAAAATACCCTATTATCCATTTGTAATAGATTGAGACCTAAGAATAAGAGGAGAGATGAGATTGCAAATATTTGTTTATTTCGAATGAATAATTTACAATTCCATAGAGAATATATATATAGTGATTTCGATTTCCTTTTTTTTATTGTTTAAATTAAACAAAATACTGTTGGAACAATTCCATGGCTTCCAAGGGTAATAACAACTTTAATCTGCTTATGAGACAAGTAATTTTGATGTTACTTACCTTATTTAACTGCTCATTGGTTTAGTTTGTTGCAACAAATCAATGTCAGATATAGAGGATTACAACACTAACGACATAACTTTTTACGAGAAAAGGATGAGAGCTCAAAAAACGAAAAATATGTGGAGGGACAAGCTATTTAAAAACAAATTGAGTACAAGCATCAGTTACAGGTCATTACACTTAACGAACTCAAATCAACTAACAAGTCATATTTAACTTTAAATTTTATATAAAACATACAATAGTCGCGTAAAGCCAACAATAGAATAATTTGATTAAATTAGTCACAAAAACAATATTACATATGATACTACATAGAGAAGTGGTCACTCATGATTACCCTGTGCTAAGTTTTGAATTTTTTAAATTTTTTGTCAAAAATCCCTTTTGTAAACTTATGAGAAACATGTCCAAACCTGACTGATTCCCTTTCTACAAAAGAACATATGATGAATTCCACCTAATTTCTTTAGTTTTGGACATAATTCAAATTGAATCCATTATATAAGAATTGGATAATTCATCAAAAAAATTAAATTGGCTGATCTAATGGATTCCGTTGATCAATCACTATTAGGGTGGTTGTTAGTGTAATCAGGTGGGAATCACATGATACCATAATAAATATTATTTATTGAAGAAAAAATAAAACTTTGTTTATTTTTGCAAAAGACAAAATAGATTATTTAACGAAAAAAATATATATAGAAATTGTTGCTAAATAATCACAATTTGTAAAATTTTATGTTGAAATTTTTTCCAAGCTTCGAGAATGTTTTAGCTTTTAATTCTATTTTATGTTGTGACATTCATTTCGTTACTTTAACTCATGATCATGCGTTCGAATATTATTTATGCAATGCACATCTGAGTCACTTTATGCAGAAGCCGAAACAACCACATTTTGATGCTGTCCTACGAATTCATATATTAGTCTTGAATTACATCATGTTTTGATTTGGCAAAAATCGCATGTCTTCTTGAATCCAAGGTTAAGAATTCGAAATTATCTCAATTACATTCTTAATCCCCTAAGATAACAAAATTGTTTGAAAAGCCATATGGATCCTTAGAAAACATCCTACAAGCTTTCAAACAATCCATTTTCAGCTAAGAAATCAAGAGCAAATATGCCTTGAAGTGTTGACTTGAATATAGGTACAAGGCAATGAGAGAGTAGCTGGATAGAAGCATCAAAAAGCTAAAAGGAACTTCAAGACACAAGTCAAGAGTCCGTCCTGAAGAAGCCCAAGCCGATCTAAAGGTTAAAAGCATGCAAAATTTGAAGATCATAAAGCCTTAGTTGACTAGAAAGGAAACATAGTCCTATTCCAAGAACATCAAGAAAATCAAATTTAGAATAGCCACAGTCGTCCATATTCCAAAAGACCAAGAAAATCAAGTTGAAGAGCAGTCATAGTCAACTACTGAAGAGATATAGTCAATCCTGACAAGTCGAAAGCCAGAAAAATTCAACTTTTAGAAGCCATGGTCAATTATAAGAGAGGCATAGTCGATTATAGAAAGCTATATTTAAAGAATACATGTTCTCTAGAAGTGGATTGACTAAAGAACACATATTCTCGATTATCAAAGCCCTAATTGAAAAAATTTTGCATAACATAGTCCACCCTAGCAACGTTGTAGTCAACTCTCAAACTTCAGCAATAGCCAAATTTGATTCAAATTGGTGTCTAACGGCTCCAAACCATGCGCTCTAACTATAAATAGACACATTTGAGGTATTTTAAAGAAAAAGAAGACCTGAGATAAAGTTTCAAACCCTAGAAAGACTACTCACAAGCTCATCTTCACTTTCTAGCGTATTTTTAGTCTTCCAACAAGCTTTCAAAGTTGAATCCCTATTCTATTTAAGCTGAAATTTCTTCTCTCATTACAAACAAGCTTAAAATCTTAGCACCTAACCTTTATGGAAGCATTTCCTAGTTGAAATTTTTACGTCCTTATCAAGGTTATGGCTTAACCTTGAAAAGCTATCCTGTAAAGGTTATTGCTTTCTATCCAAAAGCAAAAATCCTTTGTGTATTGTGAGGGTTACCGCTTGATCCCGTAAAAAGCCAAAATCTTTTGTGGATTGTAAAGGTTATCGCTTGATCTCGCAAAAACTAAAGATCCTGTTGTGGATTGTGTAAGGGTTATCGCTTCTTGTTAGAAAGCAAGATTCTTTTATAAGGGATTGAAATTCCTTGGTTGCCAAGGGAATAGATATAAGCATCAAAGAACCGAACTATTATAAATCTCTTATGTCTCTTTTAATTTTTCGCATTATTATTTATTGCTTGCATTTGCATTAGGATATTAGCTTTACTTTGATTTATTGTTTTATATTTAAGAAATTATTTTTCTTAGATACATTATTTTTATATTTACTAAGTTATTGTTGAAAAATTGTTTTGACACTAAATTTTTGGTGAAAAGTTTTGACTTGATAAATTAATTTTCAAAGAAATTTTTAATATATCAATTCATCCCTCTCTTGATATATTCCAGATTAAGACTTCTATACTAATATATTGGATATCTCAAAATATGCTCAGACAAAGCCTTTTACTCCCTTTTGAATATCTCAAAATTTTTATTACCTCAACCGGTTTCATCTCAATATCAACTGTCAGATATATTTACCAAAGTACTTGGTCAAGAGCAGTTTCAAGTTTTGTTGGGCAAGTTGGGCATTTTCAATCTTCATGCTCCAACATAAGGGGAGTAAAATAGAATTAATTTAGAATCTTTTATTTTATTTGCATTCTCGTATACATTATAGGATATTTTTCTTTCTTTATATAATCTTTCCTTATTGTCTTTTTACTTTACTTGCACTTTAAAGAAGTTTAGGATTAAAATACTTCCTTATTTACTTTATTTGCATTACACGTTGGTTTCAAAGGTACTATCTCTATAAATAGTTTTTTTATGTTTCATTGTTAAACTAAATAGAGTTTTTCTGACTCTATTCTTTTAGGACATTTTATTTTTCATACCTAGCATTAATTCTTTGATGGATTCCTCCTTTAGAAACAACAACGTAGAAACAATAACAAGTTCATGCTCTTTTATCATCAACTTCCTACATCAATCAAATACATAGAGGAATCTCTTTTGCAGTTGAATACACTCTATCGGCCATCTAGCAAGCATTAAATGCAAATACATTATGTCAGTAAACATAAATGAGAAAACAGAAGCTCATCACCTTGCCTTTTATGCTAGTGATTGGCCGCCAGATAGAAAATAATGAAGAAGATGAAGAAAACAATGAAGAAATCAGCTCCACCTTCCATTGCAAGGCAAATAAAAGAGTGTTTCAGATAGTGAGAGAGAGGAGACACAAAAAAAAAAAAAAACAATGCTATTTCATAGCTACAAAACATAAAATTACAATGATTTTTTTCCCTTTTTCTTTGGGAAGAAAAAGAAAAGAACATCAAACATTAAGGCTTTCTTGACATTGGCTGACTCAATGTGATCGATTAATTACAATATTTGTGAAGATAAATAAAGCTTCAGATGGTTTTGAAAAAGTCACATGATGATTAGCTCCTTTGACGGTCATCAATGTCAATAGATCGCCATACGAGTACGTCCAACCTCCACCCTATCCATTAATAAAAAAACTTAGTATAATATTGTTTAGGAAATAATGATAAATAAATAATTAAAATAGATAAACCAATAACCTTGTTTCCATGATTCCAAGCTTCATCTTTTGTCAAATTCAAATTCATATCCTTGGCTAGCTTGTTTACATGGTTTAAGGTTCCAACCGTTGGTACTATAGCATCTTGGTCTCCACTGTAACATGACATTGGATGGAAAAGTAAATTAAAAAAGTCAGCCGCAAAATTTCTACTTTATTTATTTACTAAAACTTGTTTTGTTTTATTTATGTAATACAAACCTGAACACTGTAATAGGAATAGACTGTTGGAGAATTTTCTTCAATGCTGGGAGCATATCAATGTCTTTATCAACATCGCTGTATTTAAGACCACTTTTCCTAATAGATTAAGAAGATTTTAAAAAGAAAAAGAAAAGAGTATAAACATTAGTTACAAATCACTTGTACGCAAAAAGAATTAGCGCATATCCCACCATGTACAAAATTTAATAAGTAAGAGAACTTACTGAAAACAACCCTTCCATTGATACCCTAAATTGGTTCGATTCCCATGAAAAGCTTTCTGAACTTCTGGAATGTTGAAATAGAAATCTGCCCTAAAGGGAATGCACATATCTACATCATAACTAACCTTCGTAACCTAAAACAACAGGAAAAGGATTAATCTATAGAATATAAATAAAAAGAAGAGCCAATAAGTTTCTCATTAATACACAAAGAAACAAGATGAATACCTCCTTTCCTAACACAAGGTCTTCCCAATTTTCATCACAAGAGGCACGAAGAACATCAAAGCGGCTTGCCTTAGCTGCATTAATGGAAGATACAACAAAAGCAGCAAATTCGGCTTTATTCATGGCTTGTTGGCATGATTCAGACCATTTGGTAGCATTATTGGAATAGTTGTCTTCGTCAATTCCATTGCATTCTTTCAAGATTTGTTGGTGCAAGTTAATATTAATCATCCCACGTGACCAAAAAAAATCATATACTGCAAGAGTGTCTAGCTTATTCCGAAGAAGCGGATTTCCCAACTATTTTAAGATCAAAAAAGGAAAAATGAAGACCTAAATTGTTAGACAAATATTCCATTTATGCAACAAATTATGCAAAAGGATTTAGAGTGGTTAGATTGAGTTTCTCCTTACTGCCAATCCTTTGATATTGAACTTGAACTTGTTTGGTTGTTTGTTGTAATCAGCAAGGCATTAGCGAAATTGGGTATGAAGTGTCCTGAAGAAAACATTAAACGATTATAAGTTTAATGAAATATGTTCTTGGGACCATAATTTCTTTTAATTTTCATTAATGTTACTTAATTCATCATCAAAGTCTAAAATCAATTAATCTACGCTGAACTTGTTTTTACTTTGGGATGGAAAATAAAATGATTATTTTTTCAAACCTGCATAGCTTGATCCGCCGAGATATAAATCTCTAGACTTAAAATTTGGATACTTTTCAAACCATTGGAGTATGAATGTAAGCAGGTCTTTTGTCTGTAAGAAACAACGAAGGAAAAGTTTTACCAAATATTGACAAAAAACAAAGTAAATAAGGAAATATTGGGTTGAACATGATCTTACTAGTACTATCATCTCCAACATCATAGTCGCTGCTTGTGTTTGAATAGGACCATCCCGCTCCAATAGGGGAATCAATGAATAGGAGATTTGACACTAAAATATGTACATATCAAAAGTCAAAAGATATTGAAACAAATCTACATGTCAAGTCCCAAGTCACAAGCATAAAAATAAATAAATAAACCTTTGATCCAAGAATATGGATTTCTTTGGAGACCATGAGCATTAGCAGTAGTAATGAAAGGACCAACACTTAAAAATCCGTCTCCAGCTGAACCACAACCTGGTCCTGAATATATAATAAATTTTAAACATTTTTTGTCATTTGTCGATACGTAGAAATAAATGTTGCTACCTAACATTGATTCATCAGTTTGGAATAAAAACCAAAATAAAGGAGTAATTCAAATGCTTAACCTCCAGTTAGCCAGATAGTAAGGGGTCGATTCATAGGATCATTTTCAGCTTCAACAAAATAATAGAACAGACTTCTGCCAACTTTTTCATCAACATCAATGTAGCCAGAAAATTGCCGGAAAGTAACATTTGGTTGTCCGGGCAATTTTTCTATTAGATCATTCATGGGAAATCCGTTAACAGCACCAATTGCGAACACGAAAAAACGTAGAAGGAATACCTTGCTATCCATTTACAATAGGTAGAAATCTTGAATTAATAAGAGAGAAAAGATAGCGAATGTTTGCTTTTTTGATTGAGTAATTTACAATTTCATAGAGAATATATATATAGTGGTTTGGATTTCCTTTTTTTTTATGTTCTAATTAAACAAAATATTGTTGGAACAATACCATGGCTTCCAAGGCTAATAACTTTAATTAGTCTTTGAGACAAGTAATTTTGATGTTACTATAACTTATTTAAGTGTTCATTGGTTTAGTTTGTTGCAACAAATCAATCTCAGATACAGATGAGTACAACACTATCAACATAACTTTTTATAAGAAAAAGATGACAGCTCAAAAAATGGAAAATATGTACGGAGTGACAAGCTATTTAGAAACAAGAACCTTTTTTGTTTTTCTAAATATAAGATGTGGCATGTGTAAGCAATACAAGAATCACCTGTCTGGTTTTTATGACATTTTTAACTCATAATCTTTATTAATATTTAAAGATTATCATTTAAGTTTTGTTTGATTGATATTTTTATTCATTTACTTTTCATAAAAAATAAAAACAAAAGACAAAAATATCGATCAAACTAAGATAACCTTAGTGCATATATTTGATCCCTAAAATAATTGTGCTTGGTTGTTGCATATAGAAGATTAACTCTAGGATTTATTAACCTTTCTTTTCTCGAAGGGTAAGTGACAAGCCCAAGAATTGTATAAATAAATAAATCTATATAATAACTTGATCTTGTAACCTTCGACCAACTCAACAACTAGTTTAACCTTGTCAAATTTTGGCCCATTTCAACTTTATATTACATATAATTTACATATATATGTATATATTAGTTTATAATTATGCATGATCCATGAGAAAAATAATTTAATTTTTATGAATATTCTCAATGATCCAACAAAAGTTGCATATGCAATTGCCAGTTTCCTTATCATTTTCTGCTTAAAGCTCAACTACAGTCCATTTTCTGCACAACGTAATGAACAATAGGGCACCAGCTTGGCAGGAGAGACCGCATATTAAGCCTATCCACAAACCCTGAAGAACAATAAAGCATAAAAGGGAATCATAAGGAAGATTAATTAACGACAGAATTATGGAATGTAATTAATTAACTACTCGGGTAAAAAAAGAATTATAATCTTCACCTTAGGATAAAGCTTAAACTTAAATCCCAGAAGGCCTGCAATTGGCATTCCAATGAAATAGAAAGTCCCCAAGTTAGCCCACACAGCCAAGAGCTGCCAACCACTTCCTCTGGCCACCCCTGCAATATCAAAAATTAGAATCATTAACTTCAATCTGGAAAAATATTTAAGACAAAAATGTTGGTTGGTGGTCCTTCAAACCTGATAAGGCTCCCCGAAAAGAATCAATTGTTATTGAGATCAAAAGCAGGGGTGTCATTGACCCAAAT